GTATAGTCAGTCCGTAGCGTAGTAAAACGTCATTCGTTTTACATAATTCAAAATTTAATGATTTTTGACAATTGTCAAAAACAATGCCAAAAGGTTTTTTTTTGACATGACGGTTAAAACAATATGAAACTGTCGATTGTCAAAATCTTTCCAACCCTGCCTAATTATATTTTTTTAAATGCTTAAAAATATTTTTTGAGTACTTGAAAAGTGCTTAAAATGTGCTTATTTTTTGTTGAATTATTTGGCTACGCACCCTGTATAATCAAAATCAGTTTTATAACTCCTTTAAAATCTTGCTATTTCTTAGCGAATAGAAAATGCGCCACCGGTGGCGGAAACGCAAAATGTATGATTAAATCCGAATTCAAATAGTTTCGAATGCAAACTCACTCTCCAAATTTAAAATCCTAAATGAAAATTAGGATTACTTTATGTTCTCGAATGTTTCTCTTTGGATTCTCGTCATGCAAAGTTAAGTTGAAAATTTCAATTTTGTTATAAATTTTTTTATAATTTTGCCATTGTAATTATGCAACAACAATTGGAAAACAATTGCTGGGAGAAGGACAGAATGGGAAAAGCTTCTAAGGAAGGCCCAGGCTCACAAAGGGCTGTCGTGCCAATGCTGATGATGATGATAATTCTGCAGCTAATTTTCTGGCTATGGATTTTGTATCAGTTCTTCTTTTTTTGTTAATTCTAAGGGTTTAACTTAGGAGCATTTCCTTGTTAGCAATCGTTGACTATTTATTTAAATGTATGCCATGTATTTTATGCTATCTATCGATATTTTTTTTTAGCAAGAGGTACGCTGAAAAAAAATGTTAATGCTTAACATTTAAGAATAATCTTAAGTATTTAAGAAATAGCTCTGGAACTTACTGGCAATAATTAAAGAAAAAAATCTCTCGTGGATCGTAACATATTTTGATGCGTATTGATTAGAAGGAACATGTATAGTGAAACAATGGAAAATCTTAATATGGACGTTTTAATCCTTAAAAGTCAAAATGTCTTTTTCATGTGCTTTGAGAAAAAGTAAAAATGTATATTCAAATATTAAATAATGCAAACAAGAAAAACCCTCATGAAAAGGATGTTATTAAATTAAGGGGTCTAAACTTTCGACCTCTCTCCAGCCGAAACATTATGTCTCCCTGTAGATTTAAGAGAAACTATTGTGAACAATTACTGCTAAAACCCATATTTTGAGGATCGCGAGTTCGAATACATAGAAAAAAATGCATTTATTTTTAGAAAAAGTAAGTTATCGTGTTTAAGATTACACCTTAAGGTTACACATACAGTTATCATATTTAAGATTACACCTTAGAATCGTATTAAGTGACTCTTAGTACGTGAAAATCCAGTCATTAGATCAAAAGTATTCACGATGTTCACTTTTTATTTCGCCCTCTGTGTATTTTTTCATAACATTTTCCACTTTCTTGGAGCTAATTTATGCGTGCAGTTGACTGCCCATGCATTAAGTATCTGTATTTTTTAACGAACAAATATTATTTTCTTTCCCCCGGAGATATTGAAAAAGTTTGGTAAATAGGAAGGAGCTTTGTTTTGAAACCCACTCTCATGCTGCCTTCTTTTTTAATCTTTCTCTCCTAGAATTGTAAAAATAAATTATTTCTAGAACCAAATCAAAAAGGTTTTGTCTATTATTTTACTGTTATTTTTGAGTTTTCTTAAGTTAAAAATTAATTTTTTTTTTCTGGCAGGTGGAATATCCCAGATCATGTTAAAATGTCTAACATTGCAAACTTTTCTTTGAAAATACTATTCTATTTGCAAAGACTTTTTGTTTTGATATCATTATGTTCTGAAACCTGACGAAAAATATGAACATTAACTATGTTAAGTACTGAAGAATCATTAGAATATGTATTTAATGGAAAGAAACAATTTACTTTTAAATGCGCAACCAAGGCTAAAGAGAAGAGCAAGTTAATTCATAGCCACCGAGAGTCAAGATCTCTCAGTAGATTTGTGACGTCATCCTCTGAGAACCATAAGATAACGCGGTATTCAGATTTGTATTAACCCCTTAACGATCGGTTAATTTTCAAGAAAACG